ATTTATTTATTGTTTTAATCTGTTGTAAGCCCCCCAGAGTCCCCCATTGGGGGGAGATGGGCGGGGATAAGTTTGATAAGTCATATATCATTTATCATACCTTGGTTGATTAGTCAATTGGCCATATCAAGGATCAATGGGCATCAACCGCAATCAAGGAGGACAGAATAAGTTAAGGTAAAGAAAAGTAAGGCAAGATAAAATAGAATAAGGTAAGATAAAATAGTGTAAGATAAAATAGAGATAAAAACAGTGCAGGAAAAAACAGAATACAAAAGCATAAAATGAGTGCTAAAATCCAAACAGTGTGTATTTAGATGAAAGCACTGCCTCTACAGGCTACCCCGATGTGTTCTGTAAAACGTGTCCTCAGCTGAACAGCCCTGACTATAAACCTGGCAGTTCTGTTGACTACATGTGAGTTTGTGCCCTGAAGGAAATAAGACAGTCTTTTATAGCCATCCCAAAGTGTGGTTCTGTCAAGTGATGTCTGTCAATACTGAGCCCTTGCTGGGGCACACCGTTGGCAGTTGACCTGTGCAACGTCTTCCATGTCTGGGGCTCCACATGTTTATGTTTTGGCTCATCCGTGGCTCACTCCTCTGGTCCAAGACTGCATTTCTGTCCCTCCCAGCCAGCTGTGTCCGTCCACTTCCTCCTTGGGTAAATCTCTGGGAAATCACTGAAAATTGCTTTGCTGTAGCAACCTCCCCAAATTGCACCCTCCAGCTCATTTCAGTGGCTTGGAGCAGGAGAGGCTGGAACCGCAGCCCTTCAGCCAATCTTCTCTTGTGCTCCGCTGTGAAATATACGGCCTCTTAGCCATGTGGACAGGTGAGGGGCAGTTACATAAATCTAGAGGCTGCTATTGTCAGAAGTAACAGATTACCAGGCAAAGTCATAATAGAGACTGTATTTAATCTGTGACCAATTGATTGCTGCCCTGTTCCAGGTATTTGGAATGTAGGTTTAAATTTGTTGGCTGGTTTCACAGAAAGCCTCCAGGGTGTGCTGTCTTATCTGTCTCCCCAAAATTGCTGCCTTTAACAGTATCATCCCTTCCTCTTCTTTGATGGCAGGGAGAGGAGGAGGGAGAAGAAACTTAGCCGTAAATCATTGCCCTTAATCAGCTGCCACCAGCCAACACGCACGCTTTGGCATTCAGCCGGCAAAATTTGCCCGGGGGGGGGGGGCGGGGGGGCTGAGCAGCCGAAATGGAGTTTGTATCAATCACCATCTGTTCGGTTTTTCCTGCACCAGTATGTAAAACACCGAGAGGAGCAAGAAGTTGGAGGG